AAAAAAAAAAAAAAAAAAAAAAAAAAAAAGAAAAAAGGAAAAAAAGAGAGATTAATTTCAAACCAAACAAGCCTCAAGGTCGCAAATTGCGAAGCTCTATAATATCTGTCCCTCGAACCATTAGGCAATTTAGGTTAATTAGTCTAAGCTGTTTGGCTAGGTTGAGGGGGTCCATCATTTTATTGTAATTAATTAGAAGCTTTGAAAGTTTCTATGGATCATACACCACTTGGGTGCCTCATGCCCCCAAACCAACAAAATTTAACCCCGCCCTTGCATAGTTGCATTTAAAAGGTTATTCTATCTACATATTCCAAAAATTTCAAGATATTTTTGTTTTTATTTTATTTTATTTTATTTTTTGTTTAGGCATGCAATTAAAGTATTTTTAGATCAATTTTTTCATATTTTTTAGTCTAATCGCTTTTAAAACAATTTTAAGAGTACATCTCTTATATCAATTTAGTACATTTAAGAAAATTAATTTTAGTAATTTAATTGATTGGACCAAAAATATATTTCAATATTTTGTAAAGAAAATCGGTCCATAATAGAAGCTCATTTCATGTACCCAATCTAAGTAGATAATTCAATCATAAAAGATGGTTCAATTAATTAAGAATTTGAAATTTGAAATTTAAAATTTTAAGTTTAAATTTGAAATTGGGTGAGAAGAAATTTTTTTGAAAAAAAAATATTATTTTTTATATAATTTATCATTAGATATAATAAAAAAATCTATCGATAATTTTGATTCCATGATGGTCACAAACTCTGTGGTAGGCGAAATGTCTAATTCAAGAATATAAATGAACAATTAATATATATATATGTGGATAACGATGTGTGCACCTCCACATATAAAAAAAAAAAAAAGATCCAACACCTAGTCCAACTTTTTTTTTATGTGGAGGGTGCACACCCGGGTGTGGGATTCAGGTGTGCACCTATCATGATCCTATATATATATATATATAATTTAGTGACACAGACATGCACAAACGTACATAGACATATATGGCTAGCTAGTCATCTTCTTGCCATTAAGTTCTCTTTCGCTCTCATTGCAGACTTGCAGTTATGACTTACGAGGGTTTTGTGTCCATCTACTATTTGTAGTTTTGTACATATAGTTATGAGGTATGACCGTATAAACATTAAAAAAGAAAAAGAATTCATTAAACTCACACCCATACTCTTTTTCAAAACTTAGATCTCGAAAATTTTCTGTGGAACAAAAAAACTGGTTAAAACTTCATAAAGATTAGAAGGGTGAGGAGGGAGAATGGCGGTTTGTATGCTAGTTATGTAGATGAAAAAGCTTTTTTTTGTTAGTAATTTCTTTTTTATTAGTAAAATATTTTATTTTACAGTTGAGAGATACCCAAACCCATTACAATTTTTAACTTAAACTCCACTTCTGTATAACTCAATCAAAACAATTTTAAAGCATTATTTTCTTCATTAAACATTTAAATCTCCTACCAACGACCTATTGAGCTGAGTGGAAGGAGCTCGGTTCCCCTTAAGCAAGATCTAGAATTCGAGTCTTGTGAATGGAGAAACAGGCGCTGGGAAAGCTTCCCCCCTAATGGGGTCCGACGCGACTCGATTCCAGATTAGTCGGGATCCAAAGTGGTTACCGGATACTGGAAGGTTAATACCAAAAAAAAAAAAAACATTTAAATCTCCTAGTAGTGATAATTCCAAATCATTTCCTTAAAGCATGGGTAATGCTTGTCTCGGATTGAGTTTCCACATTTCCAAATCAAGTTCCGGATAATCTTTAGCCCTTAGCCATGCAAACGATTTGAATTTAATGAGATCCATTACCTCCATCTCCTTATTTATCTCTTTGCCAAAGACCATTTGGTTTCTCCAATTCCACAATGTCCATATCACAACAAACCAAATCAAGTTCCAAACCTCTTTCACTTTCAATAGTCGAAACATACCTCTATGCTGCCTGAAAAGATTTTGAATACCCCTTTGAGATGCTGTGCACATGCCCCATCAAGAATAGCAAGCAACCTAGATCCTCCACACGTAGATACATTCCACTAGCACATGATCTGTACTTTCCTCTTTTTCAGAACACAACCTACATTTTGATTCAGCTTCCTCTGTTATCACACCTCTCTTTCACAAGTTAACTTTTGATGGTATATTGGTATACGATCTTGTACAGGTCACCATGCCAAAGCTGAGACTTTCAACAGCACAAGTTTATTCCATATATTTTTGAAAATCTCATTGCTTCCTACTTCATGTGGCTGGCCTAAATGCTGGTATGTAGACTTAACAGTGTATTTGCCATTGCTCTCCCACCTACAAGCCCATTTGTCTTCTCCATCATGGTTGAATACCACCATGCTAAGGTCCTTCTTTAATTCCTGCACAAGATTAGATTCCCATACAAACAAAACCTCTACGCCAATCCCATTTCCAACTCCACACTCCCTCATTCCACTCTCCTAGCTCCGCTACTTTCGCCCCTTTATTTGTTGCTAACCTTGGGGATTTTTCTCTCAACCGTACCTCCCCCACCTATACATCTTCCCAGAAATATGCTTTTTTACCATTACTGATTTGTTTAACAAACCCCCACTTAACCATCCATCACCTAACTAGTTGATATATAGTTATCCACAACAATTTAATACATGTCGGTAAGGTTGAATTATCACATACATGCCAATGAACGTTGTTAATACTTACTTGCTAATACCTTGCTTCTTAGTAGTGATCTCTTTTTGAATTTTTTAAATTCACTATTGATTAAATTCCAATTATAGCTAGTAGCATATCACAAAAATTATTACCTTCTTTTTTTGGGTTAGATGAAATATGCAAATTTGCAGCCAATAATTAATCTTCATATTTATATACAAAATTCACTCTCAATTCCCCACTGATGTGGGATTCTGGATGTTACACGCTTGACAGTAAAAGTTAAGAGTGGAAGAGGTAGTTAATGTGTGCTATGTTGCCATGGACTGTTTCTAGTAGTGAACTATCTCAACAAAGATGTGAGTGGACTATGTAAACTTGCAGCTAATTCATTGTTGGATATTATAGAAAGGAAGGGGACAGGAAGGAAATATAAGGAACATTCCTTCCTTCCCTATATTTTTCTCAAACTAAACAAAGGATAATTAATTTTACAAAAAAAAAAAAAGAGTAATTAAAAGTTAGAGAGGTGGCTGGTGGGTATTGTGTTGCCATGGAATGCTTTTTAGACTTAGGTCCCGTTTGGTATAATGGTTTTGGGATAGCGATTAGCGGTTTTATTTAAATCGCTAAATATAAGTGTTTGGTAAATTTATATATATTTCGAAATCGCTACAACTAAGGTGTTTGGTTAAATTTTTATTTAGCGGTTTGAAACTAGCGGATAGCGGTTAGGGTCTAAATCGCTAGTGGATTGAAAAAGTTAGTTTATGTAGCTTTTTGTACCAAATCGCTAACAGATTAAAATTTTTTAATTTTATTGACAAATTTATCCATTTTAATTTTTTAGTATGTGGTCAAATTTTTTAATTAATAATTATCTAATAAATTTCTATTTTTTTATCCTTAATAATATTAAGTGATTATAATATTTTTTTTGTATATTAATTTATAATTAAAAAATATATTATCTTAAAAAAAAAATTTGTTAATTAGACAAAATG